TATTTGTACAGTTAGTTGAATAAACAAAAGACGCATGACGATTCACCCAACAGACTTTAAACTTTAAGTGACTCAAAATATATGTTTATTAACAAGTTTTTTGTTTAAATAAGTTAATAAGCTTCAAAAGTAGGGATAAATTTATGCTCTTTTTAATAAGACATCATTATACTATATATTTTAGTTAAGAAAAACTTTATTTCTTTTATTCACTAATTTTCATTATTCTAATACACAATTTTATCTTTGGGTTTTAATAAACTGTAACTATTTTTTCTTGATTGTTAAAAATGCTAATACTTTTGAATTATAATACAATTTATAATCCTAGGTCGGGTGAGACTTCATGATCAGATGGAATACAGGGGTAAGTCATTTGAACTCGAAACCAATATACCATTACTCATAAAAAAAGTTATTCTTAGTGAAATAGATCGGGTGGATCAGTTTATGTTTTTAAATATGATTTATGTAGTAGGGACAACTTTTTAAATCATTTTTTGGTTTCTTAAAAAATTTTAATCATCGGCTTACTATCAAACAAACATTTATTTTCAATTATATGAAAATATTTAACACCGTTGTTTTTTTAATTTATTTATTCAAAGAATTATTTTTATATTCTTACAAGTTCAGTTGGCTATAATAGTTTCTGAGGAATTAGAAAACCTAATTTAAACTTTTAGATAATTTTTGAATTTACAATTAGTATTTCGGTAACTTAGAAATAGCAATCTAGATTAATTTGTTTATTTTTCAAAAATTTATCGGATATTAATATGGAATGAGTGTCTTAAGTTAAAAAATAATATTTTCAATTTATTTAATGGCAGTTTAATAATATATAGTTTTAATAATATGTTATGAGATAACATCGAAGTTAGTAGAGTAATACGCATGCACAATTTTTATGTATAATAGTAAATTACTCAACTTTCTTAAAATATTGTTTTTGTTATAATATTCATTATTTTCATTTGACTACGGATTTCGAATTCATAAACTTGGAACTGTCATTTCCATGTTTACAACCATGAATCACCGCATAATAAAAATAGTTATGGAGAATTATATTGATATCTTAAAATGAGTACCTGAATACTATAAAAATAAAAATTAAATAAAAAAGTTGCTGTGATCTAAATGTTTATCTAATATCACATTTAAGAGATAAAATTCGATGGTTAATAATATTTTCAGTTCATTCAAATTATTAATTAAGAATAGTAAATAGGTTTTAATAAATAATTTTTTTTCCTCGAAACTTAAAATCAACAACGTTCTTTGATTATTTGATTCCTGTTTTCTCATATATGAATAATAATGAAACACTGTAAGTTTGAGTAGTTTTGATTATCTTCGGCTTATCATCTACGCTAGCTGTCGATTACCAAATTATTTCAAACAAACTCAATAAACTTATGGCGATGGCACCATCAGCTTCAAAGCTATCGTTATAGTCAAACAATTTATTCTTTCTTTAAACTCTAATTTCCCATTCTATTGAAATATGCATTTGTCAAATGTTAATAGACTTTCTGAACTATTCAAGAAATCCGATAAACCGTCATATTTTTTTCTCGCACCATCGGCCTGTCCAATACCTAATTATATATCTAACCTTATTATATTTACGAATAAATTATTAACATTTTCATAACGACAAGTATTTTTGATAAAATTGTACGTCTACTTATAATTAAATAGAATAGTCATGTGTTCGCAGATCACTTCAATAACGTATGGCATACTAACAGCGACGAAAAACCAAAAAAAAAAAAAAAATACTCATCGAACGCTGTTGAAAAACTATCCCGAAAGTTCGGTAATATTTTCACAATAATCAAACAGAATAACGATCTATATTTTTGTGACAAATTTCACTGAAAAGCTTTAATTTTTATCATATATTTATTACCTTTCCGTACATTTTCACGCAATACACATTATTTTCCAAATATATATGTCAATACTACGACGCATAACAACTTTTTTCTGAACTTTAAATATATGTGTTCTGAAATGCGAATAAATTTACTATAGTAGACAATATTAATATAAAATGTATATATTTTATATAAGAGGGATGTCTCTCAAACTCGTATGCAAGGAATTCTTTGTGCTATGTAGAACATAAAAAAATAAAATTAACTTAAAAATCGTACTTTCATCAGATTTGACTTATTTACTTATTTATCAGATTTGACATATACCTATATAAATAATGTACCTTTTTATTATTTTTACTATCGAATCATTAGAAAAAAAATAATCACACCATTTTGTATTAATGTTCGCATGAATTGTGATAAATTGTTATCAATCGATAATAAATAAAAAAAATAAGAACGTTGAATGATCTATGGAAAAATATTGGACTGTAAACTTAATCCGTATTTCTTTTAATGTCAAATTATAAAATATTTTGGTAAAAAAGAAAACAAAAAAAAAAAAACCATAGGCTTGCTATAGGTTTAAGATGTAGAATAATCATTGTACTGTGTTCATATATTTTATAACATATCACCAGAAAAAATCTAATGTATTTCAATACCATGAGTATTAAGAAGTTCAATAGTTGAAAATATTAATTCTTACCTTGATTAATGAACGAACCATAACTTAAGCTACAAGAGTAAAAACACAGTTAAATAGTGTTAATTACTTTTCGTGTTCGATTAATCAAACTCGTTTAATACTCTTACTAGAACCAGCAACCTATTGTATTTTCGAGTACCATCCTAGTATTTTTGAATCGTGTCAAACTCAATTTCGTTTTTATATAACACTTTATGTTCTATTAACCAATGTGTTCATTCTATTATCAAATAATATGAATAATTTACAATACTTATAGTTTGTTTTACTATTATCTGGTAAAATGTATTATGTTGATAATTATGTTAAGAGACCAACACTTTATTGAATTTAGATTATAAAATGGTAAATTATGCATTGCAATTTTATAATATATTTACATGAGATTTACTAGAAGTATTTAAATTACAAAATTTCACACATATCGAAATAGTCTTCAGATGTATTTCTTATTGACTTTCTAAAAAAATGTTTGTGGTTTGAAGATTAAAAGAATTTAATGAAAAATGAAATACTTCAAACGAATAGTTTACAATTTTAAACGATTCACGCTTCATCACGTAGTAAAAAGATGTACTTTTACTGAAATTTCAACATTCAAATATATTTGATAAAGTTTTTATAAGCTGACAACGTACAACTTGAGAGGATTGTTCATAAATGAAATTAATAACATACCAATGATTAAAATTATATTTTATGTTTATCTATATTTTTTATTCACATTATATTACATTAAAAGCTGATGATTTAAAAAAATATTTTTTTATTCATAAAACTCTTATCATCGCACAATACATAATATAATTACATTTATTTATTACCTCATAATACAGATTATTTAAAAGTTCGTTAGATATCTTAGGTATACTAACTAAATAAACAAATAATGTAAAATAATGATGAATATAATTAATGAGTAATATTTTAATCAACGCATTTATTATTAATTAGATAAGTAGTGAATTTTATTAAATTCTACACCGATGTAACAAATTCTAAATTAATTAAATCTTGATTACTTTACAACCCTTTTGCTTCTGAGAAACTGAAACAAGACTAAAATATTATAACAAAACCTAATAAAAATATCTTGTATCTTATAAGTAATAAGACTCTTGTAGTGTAAGGTAATTAGCAATCCAAAAGAAGGAATTGATTATTATGGTTTTAGTTTAATCAAAATTAAAATTGGCAAACTCGAAAGAAAACTAAGGCAAACAACTTACTCTGCCAAATTTAACGAGTATAAATAGTATGTTCGACTTAAAAATTTACTCGGAAAGTATAAATGATGAAGATAAATTTATGCGCCCGATTTAACTAACCAATAGCGGTACTGCAGACGTTTAAAATTCCGTCATTATTTGTTTTTCGACGAATTCCAGTAAGATACGGTCCTGTGATCTTTGTGTTCTTACGCATGGTTTTAATTCCTAAGTTGACTAATCGTCAAAATTGTCACCGATGAACGGAAATCACGAAATCGATTTGTTCGACGCGAAGATATTGTGTGATCGGTTAAATCAAAAATCAAATGTCGTCGATCGCATAACACTCGGCGAGTTGTAAACAGCACCGTCGGTGTTGTCACGTTTCGGCCTTGGGACTGGAAACACGGTGGTGGACTCTCGGCGGGGGGGTATGTGGTGAATTCACATGGATCACGCGGGGGTCACCAGATAAGGGAAAAGTCCGATAAACGTATGCGAGACCTGCGACGGCTGGGACCATAGTACTGTTGTGTTTTCTCATCTTTACTAGTTACCGGCGGCACCAAACACGTAACTTTGACGATTGAATACATTAAATAATTAGGCAATATGAACGTCGATGGCCCCGCGAGCGATTTGCGGATTCTCGATCACGGAAAACAATACTCGGCCGAGCCCGTGATCTCCGTGCCGTTTCCATGTGCTGAGGAAAGAACGACCGCGGACGGGGTACGCTTGTCCCTACCCCTGGAGTCGGGATCGCGATCGTTGTTCAGGGACAAAAGTATCGGCCGACACCTCTTTTCTCGGGAAAACAACCGCACCTCGCCGACCGCGCGTGACCGGCGAAGAACGCGAGCAGCCCCCGTTCTTCGAACCCCCGGCGGACGAGAGATGTGTGCGACACGGGTGCCGCCAACAACCCCCTGCCCGGCGTACGTGCACTCAGCGGTCCGGCGGATTTCTCGAACATAGATCGGCGGAAGGGGCGCACGTGCGGACGCGGCGGCGACGTCATCGTCATCGTCGTCGTCCTCGTCCGTCCTGTTCGCCGTCGTCCTCGTCCTCGGTAACGGGGCGCGCCCTGTCGGCCGCGAGTCGGGTTTCTTCGGTGCTCGCGTATGCGCGTCATGTCGGTTGTTGTTGTTGTTCTTGTTGTTGTTGGTGTTGGTGTTGTTGTTGGTGCCGCTGTTTCCTCGGCACCACGCACGCCTCACGTCGTCTCGTCCGTAACTCGTGTGCTCGCGTCCTCCGTTCGCGTCACCGCGAGTCTCGTCACGCGGTTCTCGTCCTGCGCCCGTTTCGATTTTTCCGCCGGGTCGTTGTTTTTTTTTTTTTTTTTCGCAACACTTTCCGCTTTCGTCGCACGGGGCAGTGTGTTCCGTCGGCCCACGTGGAGGACGTGCGTCAAATCGGTCGGACAACCGGTCGTCTCCTTCCGCCGTTGCTGACATGTGAGTACATCTTCCCCTAACCCCCCTACCCCACCCCAATCAACTTGCACGGGAGTGCGCGGTCGAAAAGGCGCGTAAAGTTTTTCCCGACGACCCGAGTTGGCGCTCTCACCGCTCACGGTCGGTCCCCTGTTGAACACCGGAAGAAGAAAGAAAACCGACGGAACCCGTTTTCGACGGGTCTCCCCGTCACGACTTTAACCCCCGCGCGATCCCGAACGGGACCGGATTTTTCACAATCGTCGTCGTTCTTACCAAGGGTCCGCGAGATTTGTCGCCCGCGGTTCCGGCCCTTTTTCTCGGGTTCGCGTGGCCGTGCTTCGCGGAACAAAACGATAAATATCGAATATTCGTTCAAATCGCATTTCCAGTTAGGTCCACATAAACTTTCTAGTCGTTACGACCTATGATTTTTTTTTTGGTTTCCTTTTTTTCTCGTATCAAACGCTAATATTTTATTGGAAAAACTTTTCCTTTCCGACGCGTAAAATGTTTTTCCCGGTTTACACTTGGTAACATTTTTAAATATTTTACACCTACGATGAAAATATCACGCCGAGTCTTCCGTATTATATTTTTGTTATATACGTGCGCGAAATAAAAGTGTCGCTTTGAAATTGTAATATGTATTTCGATCGTGAAGATATGTAATAAGTTATCATCAACACATTTATAAATGATATTTGTCGTTATTGAATAATATTAATACTTTTGCGATTAATGATATTCGGAACCTAACGCGGTTAAAAAAATATAAATATGTTTTAAAATTAGTGTGACAAAATGATCGATTATTTTCATTAGAACATTCGTTTTTGTTTTAATACAATTTAGTTGTGCGCGTAAAATATACGGAAGCACTTGATTCTGTGTAGTATACGAGTATATAATATATGAATTGGAATACTTATGCATCTATGGTTTATGTTAATTTTCTAATATAATTTATTGAAAACTTCTTAACAATTTTTTGTCCACCTTTATTACAGATTTGTTCGAATACGTATTCATTAGTACTGTCTGATGTTTGAGCTAGAACTGACAATAATGTATACGGGTCGAAGTGCTATCGGTCATCAACCATAGTGCTGAATTAATGTTTATTATACTATTATGATATATTATATATATATATATATATATACATATATATTATATTAATTGCTAACAATACAATATTAGAGATGGAAAAACAATAAAATAAAAATATGTAAACGTTACTTTAATATAATAAACTAGATACTATAGTGAAGACAAAAATTATATTAAATGTATGTAAATCTGTTTTAATCTATGAATATTTAATTTATTGCATTATCAAATTTTAAATTTTAAAACCATTAACTATAAAAATTTGAAAATGTGCACACTATAAACTTTTAATATCCTTTTCGTAGTATCTTGATACTAATTTTTAACATTTAACTTACTAATTAATAAGTATAATCGACTGTAAAATACATTTAAATGCCGTCATTTCTGAATCTTCCATAAAATGTATGATAACAATGGTACTATTAATCATAGCAATTTAAGTTACAACTTAAATATATATATATATATAAAATAAGCTAATTTAGTATACGTTAAATTGCTATTCAATATTTCAACCTGTTGGATAATTTGTGAATATTTATTTTATTTTCTTATAAACGTTTTATTTAAAATTTATTTGAACTCTTAATTAAAATCTTTTTACAAATTCGAAATTTGTAATAATTTCTATAGAATTCATAAATATATTTTTTTATTGTTTAAAACTAAACGGAGTGTACAAGGGTAATTCTACACAAAAGTAGATCAATTACTGTCAAACCTCAATGACGATACATAATTCTGTATAATTTAATATTTATTTACCACGATCATTTAATATTTTCGTTTTAATAATGTAACTGTAATAATATAAAATAAGATGGTTGTCTATTTGATACACTTTGAATCTATAAGTTACTACTTACTCCTTTTGCACGGACTATATTAGAAAACGCACGGGCTAAATTGATTGTCAATCAATTTTAACGAGACTATATGATCAATGGGATAGCACGAGCGCAGATAGTTTAAATAGTTGAACAAGGCGTTATGCGCCATATTTTTTGTCGTTTCGTCCATGTTAATACGAAGATAATTAGTTAAACTGCCACGAAAGAAGTTGTTCTTTATTACGATGATGTTGAAATATTTTAATGCTGTCATGTAGCGATTATCACGGATTCTTCTTTTGGTCAATTTTTTTTCCTTTATATTATCCTTTGCTTAATCTAATTACACGATTTTCATGAATATTTATTCTTTTTATAGTTGAAATATTTTAACGTACCTACTATTCGTCAGAGTTCAACGGAGATTTATAAAAACTAATCAACCGTGGTATTTTTTACGATTCCACCAAAATGTCCGGATTATCTTATTAATTGAGTTAGTAACATTATGTAGGTGTATTATTCTTTCGTAAAACTCTCAGCGGTTACAAATTGTAATTAAGTAGCATGGAAACGTTATGCTTTCGAAGGACCGTATAATTATATTAAAATATTTAATGGTAAGATTTATGATCCACTGCGCTCCGTATGGCGATGTAAATTATGTTAAATACACGTAGCCGATCTGAAATTTAAATAAAATATAGTACGTCGTATGTCCTTACAAAGACGTGACGTATATTAAGTTTTAAATTTGTATACCTTAAAGCAGGGTGGCTGTAAGCTACGGCCGTGGTTCACATTTAGCCGGCATCTTCAATTTTATTAATAATGTTAAAAATATAACATTGTGAAATAAAAACGTAAACCGTGAAAAGCTGTGTGGTTATTATGTACAACATACACGAGAAATCTAGAGCTAAAAATATCTTATTTTGATGAATGGTTTCCGTTCCCGATTTTAAATAATAGTTGGTGGTCAGGTCGATTTATAAAAAAAAAAAAAAAAAAAACGTGGTGCTTCGGTATTTTAATCGACATAATCTTATCACATTACTCATCGACATAATTATAGGCACTTGGTTCTTACTTAATATATTGTCGATTCATTTTAGGTATAAAAGTATGTTAACCAGTGTCAAACACACAAATTCGGTTCTTACGGATAGCATAGGTAATCGAATGTATTACGTCATTATTATTTTCGTTTCATGGTCCACATGATGCCATTCGCTGGATTCTTCGAGGCCGCGAGAAACTGGAAGAAAGCGTAAGGCTGATTTTTTTCCGACTGGTAACCAATAGGTTCCCACGACGAGCGCTTGCGGGATATCGTTTTCGCATGACACATCGAGTTGGATCTGCGATAACGATCGTTTGGCAAACTAGGATTATTTATATTTATACCGAATAGGAATACGTCTCGCGTCAATAGGACGCGCTACACCCTCGTATGTGTTACGTCGATTTCATTTTTATGAAAGTTATGGATATATTTAAATACAATTAAATATAACGGATTAAAAAAAAGAAAAAACTTACTAAAAATAAATGCCGTAAGAAAAACGAGAAGACGAATATGATCATGCGCTCATCCCGTTAAGTTCGGTCATAGATCGGTGTACAGTAATGTCGAAGACAACGCATAATCGAATCTACCGAACGGCAGATTTGCTGTGCTATTTGCTCTACGCAGGCAATACTTGCTGGGGTAAAGCGTTCCCTCAACCGTGTCGGACGATGAGCTTAGCGTTTGTACTTACCGACGTGGTCGTGAGGTTAAACTGTGCGATCGTTCTCGATGACGACTTGGCGTGATCGTGTCGATCCACTTGACGGACGGTCTGTTCGCGGGCACCAGGGGCTCAGCAAATTCAAACTTACTATTTGTAAAAAATATAGCATATGTTGAAACGATGAAATTAATCAATCCATTGCGTTCGAACAGATACGAAATATTAAAAGTTATTAATAAAATAAATAATATATTCGAATTTCCAGGTTTAAAACAGTTATCACCTAATTACAATGCTATATCGATTTTTCTTTTTGCCAATTCATCCAACACTTCATCTGGATTAACTTCAATTGGTTCTGTTAATATTTAGCTGTTTCATATCGTCATCATTTATTAAAGTCCGTTCGGAGAAAAAAGAGTATATAAACATAAACACTGAATAAGTTAATTTACTGTCTCAGATTCATGGGGGGGTTCTTATCCCCAAACCTCCTCGTGAATGCGCCACAGTAATCGAAAACACGTTGACTAGCATGTACGGGTGGTACGCGTGCGAGTGACGGATAGTGTATTATTTCACATGAGCGACGCGCCGACGGTGCATAATTATCGTTCGAAAACAATAATAAAACAAAAACGCTTACGACTGTTTTCAACCTGCTTTTTAAAATACGACGCGTACTGCACTGTCACGACGAGTGCACTGCGTTGGATTGGATTACGTTCAGGGCCGGATTAAGGGCCGATGCCGCCCTGGATCAAATAATGTTTGCTCCTCTGCCCCTCAAAGAAATAAAGTTTAAGTGAAACAAAAAAAAAAAAAATTCCTGGTTTCTATGTATAAATTAAAAAAATAAAATACTATTATAAAATATAGATACCTAATTTAATAATTAATCTACTTAAACTAAAAAGTATTAATAGATATGTATGTTAAATATATAATATGTTATATATGTTTAATATCACAGAATAGTTTTGCAAAGAATTTTTTTAAACTAATGGAAAATACGGACAAAATACAATTATAATATTAATAAATTATTTCAAAATATACAGATAATAATTACTTTAATATTAAAAAAAATTATTTAATTGAATTAAATTATTAATTTATTATTATTAATGTTTTGAATTTTTTTTTTTTTTAAACCAGCATTTAAATAATATATCGGAGAATCCATTTATCACGTAAAAGTTTTGCCAAGTATGAAAATGATTTATGAACAAAGCTATTGGTTTATATTTCCGACCGGAAATGAAGAATGAATAAAAGTGATATTTGCTGACTTACAATTACGTTTACGGACCGGTTACATTATTATATGGTAGTGTTCGATGTCGGTCAGTATTGACTTCGTTTGCCATCGATGTACCGGTAACATTTTAACACAATTAAATTTGCTAATTATCTACTTTAAGATTGTTCGAAAACAAAAAGCTAAAAGATATTTCGTATTTTATAGTCAACGATTCGGTTTGATTAAAAAGTTCACAAATATTATGTATTGAAATCATTTTTAACAGATTTATTATGCGTGTAAAATACGACCGGTTTCGAATTAAAAATTCATCGTCAGGTTAAATATTTATACAAAATCAATTAAGTCGTGACTCTTATAATTATTTTAATAATTTTTTTTTATTTTATTTAATTTTTTATTATTTATTGAGTGGCCGTACTTTACAAATCAAATTATATTCCATGCTATGAATTAATTTATTAATTTATTATTTCTACATATAAAGAATTTATTTATTTATTCATCTATTAATTTATGACTACTAATCATTTAATAAGTTTTAATTTAATTATTTTATTTTAAAAACAATTTGTGTTTTTGATCTTGGGTATTATGTTATTAAAATAATGAGATCAGACGAATTTTTCAAGGCATTCTAAATTATTAATATAAATATTTTGATTAACATTTTTTTTTTTTTTTTTTTTTTTAATGGCACAAACAATTGTAATTATGTATAATAAAAGGGAAGAAATCAACTGATAATCTTAAAATAATATAAAACAGAGTATAAAATAATTTCTATTCAAATATGTTTAAATTAACTCTATTTTAATAATTAGTCGTACCCCATTTAATATATTTGATAGACATTCACTAGATAAATGCATTTGGAATTAAATTTGAATTGTTATCTATGAATTGGATAATACATTATTATAATAGTTAATTTAATATTATGTCAATTATATAATTATTAAGGATATAATTTTTGATTGTGTCCCACTTGTAGAATTATTATATTTTATATTTTGTATTTATTTATTTATTTATTTTTTTTTTTTAAGAAGAAGTCTTTTACTAGCCGCCTTGGACTTCGATTTTTGAAATTTAATTTACAAGAGCTGTAAATAAATATAAGACACCTAATAAATATATCTATATACATAAATGGATTTATTGTAAATTATTATAAAAACAAATTATATTTTATAAAAAAGCACTGAAATATAATTATAATATAAATACATTTTTAAATAAATTTAAGATAACAAACAAAGGGGATTTAAAGAAAAGAAAAAGTCTTATAAATATTAAAATGGATTTTTATTTTTTCATTTAATTTTCCAACTGAATTATGTTATTTTAAATAATACATCTATTCTTTTTATCCAGTTGAAGAAGCATGCCAAAATCCTTAAAAGAGTTTATATATACGTGCGCAAAAAACTACGCCAGACAGGAAATATGACCGTTCATTATTTGTATTTTACATTATTATGTATGTGAACAAATTCAAAGAAGACATTTTTATTATATTGTCTATCGTCATTAAACCGTCTTGATGTTTGAGAGCGGAAAATGTGTATAAATCAATTCAACAAACTACTAACAATCACATATAATTTAACGTTTAATTATACTTAAGATTAATAAAAATTAAGGGTGCAAATTGTAAAACACACGTGCTAAATAACAATAAAAATAAAACGAAAACAACATTTCAAAACTATCTAATAATTATATTAAACGTATGCCAATACTATTTATGAGGAATATATAGTATAATGAAAATATGATTAAATATTTCTATGAAATTCAACTATTGATTGAGATATTGCAACTTCATTCTTTACATTTTATTAGACGGTGATTGTACAATATACACGGCATTAGGGGTATCACAATAATAATATGTTGGAAATATTTCTTGACATAATATAGTTTCCACTAATGGTACGGCTGTTGTAACCGGTGTACCCGCAGGAGATGTTACAATATTTGAGGGTATTGGAGGTACGACCGGACTTGCCACAGAAGTTGGTGCTGCAGGTATACTCTCTACAAGTATAGCTGGTGTTACTGCAGGAGGTGTTGCAATACTTGAGGGAGTTGGTGATGCGACCGGACTTGCTACAAGATTTTGTACTGCAGGTATACTCTCTACGGGTATAGCAGGTGTGCCCGCAGGAGGTGTTACAATATTTGAGGAGACTGTTGATACGACCGGACTTTCCACGGGAGTTGGTGCTGCAGGTACACCTTCTGCAGGTATAGCCGGTGTTTCTGCAGAAGGTGTTGTTTCACTTGAGGGTATTGATGGTACGACTGGACTCGCTACAGGATTTGGTACTTCAGGTATACTCTCTACGGGTATAGCTGGTGTTACTGCAGGAGGTGTTACAATGGTTGAGGGAGTTGGTTGTATAATCGGACTTTCTGCAGGAGCTGGTGCTGCAGGTACACTCTCTACAGGTATAGATGGTGTATCCGCAGGAGGTGTTGTAATATTTGAGGGGGTTGATGGTACGACCGGACTTGCCACAGGAGTTGGTGTTGCAGGTACACTCTCTGCAGGTATAACCAGTGTTTCCGCAGGAGATGTTACAATATTTGAGGGGATTGGTGGTACAGTCGGACTTCCCGTAGGAGCTGGTGCTGCAGGTACACTTTCTGCAGGAGATGTTACAATACTTGAGGGGATTGGTGGTACAG